ATTCTGGGAGATGTAGGCAGAGGAAATGTAGCCTCTCAACCTCTGAATACCCCTAAGCGGGACTGACATCATTATAAATGTTAAATGTTGTGTTTCGATAAGGTTACATTTTAGATGTTGATTCATTATTGGAAATAGAAAAATCAAAAACAAATAAATAACATCCGATATCGATGATATGCAAGGCTATCGTCATATAGCCCTATGCCCAATAATTACCCCTCAGGTCTGTTCGATGTTTATTTGCTCATATCTTTGGGACCATTATTTTACTGAAAGTCCCAGTAAGCTATTTGCTAATTTAATAATGATAAATTAATGCGTGTAATAGGATAGAAATAAGGCAAGGCAAATTTATTTGTATAGCACAATTCAGTACAAAGACACTGCAAAGTGCGCTACATGATTAAAATAAAGGAAAATAAACAGAATCAAAGCAAGTAGGAAAAAAAAATAAAATAAAAAATGCAGAAACAAAAAAGAACATTAAAAACAGTTGGACTAAAGAAAAAGAAGTTGAACTAATGATGTTTCAGTTAAACTGTTTAACTTGAACAGTCGAAGGCAATGCTAAACAAATGTGTTTTTAATCTAAATTTAAAGGAACTCAGGCTTTTCGCTCAATAGGAGCTTTTGCTTCCTTCGACCCCTTCTATGGTGATTTTGTTTCTTTTCCTCTTTCTTTCTGAATTTAAGTAGACAATTAGAGCATAACAGAAAAAATTTTTATTCTGTTTTGTTTGATTGTTGAACAATTTCTTTTAGTTTTCTCTCAGACACAAGTTTTTTTCTTTAAAATATCCTGATATCAAAATTCCCTATGAAACCATTTAACCCGATAACGCTCCCACGCCGATGACATCGTTATAACCTCAATATACGAAAGAGAGTCTGTTAGAATCGCTAAAACAAAACCTAAGCATCAGCTGTGACTCAGAATATCTGTCTCACTGATATCACTGCCAAATGAAGCTTCTAGCTCCTCTTACCAACACACTGGAAAAATGATCTAGAAAAAATTTAATATTTCTCAAATTAAGTGTATTTACCCTTAGTTTGAGTCAGTAAATTAGATGATTTGCCAATGGGATGAGTATTTTTACTCTTAAAATAAGATATTTAGATAAAATGCACTTGGAATGGTGTTTTCTTATTTTAAATGTAAATTGTCTTGTTTCATTGGCAAAATGTCTCTTTTACCTTTTTAGTTCAAGAACAAATGCACTTATTTTAAGAAAAAATTACTTATCTAGATTTAGATTTTTCCAGTGCACAAGTGTTAGTCTAACAATCATTTCTAAGTATTTAATTTAAAATGAAAAGCAACTCTCTATTTCAAAGATGCTCTTCAGGTTTTAGAAATGATCAGCAAGTTTGATAAGAAAAAGGAATATTTCTGTCGCACTAGAGCCTGGGCACGTTTGTGCAACACGATGACTATACAGGAGGGAAGATTAAGGGAACTGGAGCAACCAGCTGACTCTCTGCTGTGTGTGAAAGCTGCTCAGCATGTGCATGTTTGGTTTCATCTGAGTGTCTCTGCTCGGAGGATCAGAGAGAGGAAGCTCCCAAAGTCTCCAACCTGGAGCGCAGATGGACATGCTAGCCTCCGATACTCTGACCCCATTCAGTCCGACACACACACCCGCACCTAAGCACACACACATTTCTTTGCATTTATATCCAGACCTCAGAGCAAGCAAACATCTTGTGTATTTTTTTTTCCCTGGGGTACCTGTCTGTTTACATTTTTCTAAAATAAAAAAAATAAATTAAGAAATCCATTCTGTGGCACACACTCATCTCTTCCTCCTGTCAGCCTTGTCCCTGCATGTGTTCCTACCAGCATGATTCTCCTGCACGGCGCTACATCTCACAACACCTTCCACCCTGACTCTACATAACGCCACCACCGGGTCCTGGTGACAGGCGTTGCCGTGCCAACGCCACCTCAAGATGCGAGTTTGTTCTCGTCTGTCACAACGATGTTAAATTGTCGCAGGAAAGTCATAAACCCGCAGGGAGAAAAGCAGCTGATGGAATTTTGTCGCAGAGAGCGGGACGTCTGAGGACGTGGCGTGATGTCGAGCAGATCTACGCTGCAAACAAATGAACTAATTAATTAGAATACTTTAGATTTCTTCTAAAGTATTCTAATTAAAGTTTTACTTAGCAGTTTAAAAAAGGCATCTGCTGAGTAAAACTTAGAAAATCCTAAGTTCTTGCATTTCTTTTTGTCCAAGCAGAGGGTACAAATAATTTATTATTTCAGCTCCATGTGAAACAGGCTGTTTATAGGGAAATATTTCAGTGGTAACTAAATTGTTCTCGGTCACATTGCAAGGTTTCTGCATCTCCTTTGCTGCACAGTGGAAGGCACATGCTAACCATTATAATCGTTTTCTGTCGAAAATGGATGAAGTCATGTGCTCTGAACTTCAACACTCCGCTCCATATAAGGAGAAAAAGGCATGATTTCTTGTGGAACCAGATCAGATTGTCTCATAACACAGAGCCAGAGCTCCCAGCATATACAGAGTCTGGCAGGGTCTTCACACTGCTCCACATTTTTAACATTTTGTCACATTAAAGCCACTAACTTTCATAGACTTGCTTGGCATTTTATATGACTTGCAACAAATAATATAAAGCAGTTGGTTGATTAAATAAAAGTAACATTACTTTTATGATACCAATATAAACAATCTAAAATATGGTTGAAGATGATGAGATAATTAAAGGTCAATATACATAGTTAAATAGTTAAAGGCTGCAGAAACATGTAGACTATACAATAATCACTGACTCTCCATTGAATTTCTGATTTATTGATTGTCTTTATTGATCTCAAAGCAGAGAAATTTACTCGTTAAATCAGCTCAAATAGTCAAAAGAGAAGAGGAATGTGCAAAAGGAAGAAAAAGGTGCATGGGCTACATACAGTATATATAGTGCATCCACAAATGACAGCTAGATAGATATTTATATTTATGTATATAGTTATTGAATAAGTTCCCAATAAAACCTGCACCTGTACCTGCAAGGACTGAATCCTCACTCTATGTCCTACTTTTCTCATTTTTCTCAGTAGAGTTTTGCAAACACTGGCTGCAGAGCTGCCTGCAGCTCTTTGGACCGCACCACAGTGGCTCTTAATGACTTGGGCTAAAATGAAAAAGAACCAATTAGTGTTTTTTATGATAAATACAAAACATATACTGCAGCATTTAGCAAAATCTTTCATTTTTTCATTGAGTTGCTCTGAATTTGTGCAAGAGAATGTGTTTTTATCTATTTTATCTATTATCTATTTCTTGATTTGTATTTATTAGTATGTTATTAGGTTTACAGATCTCTGTTTTTATTCCAACGAGACATACCATTCTAAATAAAGGTTAGATGCATACAGAGATACATTAGATCGGAAACAAATGTTGTTTTCTACAAACATTATCATCCCATACTTTTTTAATTGCTATTTTTTGCAAAACTAGACTGACTACCTTGTAAGCAAGATGAATTGTCACAAGATTCCTAAAATACGTATTGCTAGAAGCCAGGAGATGCATTTGCCTTGAAGGGACGTGTAAAATGTCAACGTATGAACCAGTGGCGGAAAGCTGAAACAGGTTTTACTTGGGACATCCCTTATTTCTTTTTTTTTAAGGGCAATAGAATGCCATTTCTACCTTTGTGGATGGGATGGGAGGCATTTGCACGTTCTTTAAGATGTTTGCATGTTAAGCGTTAACTCTGCTTATCAAGAAAGTGATGCCTCAAAACTGCTACTGCTGATGCATTTGGGAGCATTTTGCATGTGCCGCTTGATTTACCAAATAAGTTCGAAGATTTGTACTAAATCTCTACCTGAGGCTTTCCAGATGGATACTGTGTAGATTTCAAATTGAGCAACACGTATCAATCTAGCTTATGCCAGGGTAACAGAATGATGGTTTGCTAAAAATTAAAAAATTTTTGAGTACTGTAATTTTCGGACTATAAGCCGCAACTTTTCCCCCATTTTTCGACCTTGCAGCTTATATAACAATGCGGCTTATCTATGGACTTTTACAGCTAAAGGCCACTAGGGTACCTAATCTATGGATTTTACCATCCACCATGTTGAGGTCACATTTGCTTCAACACACAAGTAGGGTAGCCGCGAGCGCGGGAATGCGGAGGTCCTCCGGAAGCAGACTTCTACCGCGAGTGGTACGAGACAAAACGACTGCGAGAAAGATGGACATTGCGAGCGCAAGACAGTTTGTGTGACACCCTCATTATGGAAAACAGACCTACCGGTAGAAATAATAAATAGGAGCTTCCCAAACAGTTGCCCCTTTCTCGACAATCCTCTCTGTGCACGAACCATATGGTAATTAAACATAAAAAAACCTGCTGTTTATATCCAGGTGCGGCTAATAGTCCGAAAATTACGGTAGATAATTATCAAAAAAAAAAATTTCCATACTTTTTCATAAATCCATACGATTTGCAGCTCCAATAACTTTTCTTTAGATGGACTGAAGGCAACAAAGGCTTTCAGATGTAGAACAATACAAGAAATATGTATCATGTAATTCCAGATCAGAATCAATCTTTGCTAGTTTGTCACAAAAAAAGCCCTTAAAGCCTTTAAAGTTAGTGGTTGTAACATAAAACTGGCTAAAGGCTCAAAGGGTATGAATACTTTAACAAGGTAGCTTGAATTTACCTGAAAAAGTCTTAAAAAACATACATCACTGCCAGAAAAAGGCTTTTAGAAAGAGATGTTTCAGACTCTTTGCATGTTGGATTCCATCTCACATGAAGTTACATCAGAGCAAAATTGCCACAGGAAATAATAATTTAGTGTAAATTAAACTTCTCTGCACATAGAGGACATGCAGAACATTCAGACTTCAGTAGCTTTATAAAAGCATTTAAGTGGAAAACTTTTCCCCCCGCAGTCAAAATGAACTAATGTTGCTTTTATTACTCCATTTTTTTCCTCTTCCCAGAATGCTCAGCGGCTAGGTAGCTCTCAGGTGACTCAGCCGCTCACAACTCCAGTGGTTTCTGTGGCAACACCCAGCCTCCTGGCTCCCTTTCCCGGCATGCAGACGGCCTACAACACCGGTGAGTCCTTCAATGCGGCGCTGCCAGACACAGTGAGCCTTAACCGCATCCCATCAGGGCAGGGAGGACATCACTGCCAGCAGAGGTTGAATTCAAAGTCATGGAAAAGAGAAAAATTTAAGAAAAAAAACAATAAAGTCAATTATTTCCTGAAAAAAAAAATCTATTAAGTCTCATGAAGGAAAAGCTTGCAGTGTGCTGCCACAAACGGCTATGAATATTCACTTTGTTCATTGTGTGAGAGCTTCTGGAATGATTCCACTTCAAAGGTCCACATTAATATGGATTAGCAGTGATTAATATTGATGCACCAGAAAGTTGTATGATGTAAAACAATCCCCCTCCTCTCCATCCCCTCTTCACCCTCTCTCTCTCTCTTAATGTCTTTTCTTCCTTCCCCTAATCCCAGAGTACCAGCTGACGAGTGCGGATCTCACAGCCCTTCAGACTTTCACACCACCAGGGCTGGTGCCTGGCAACATGGCCGCCTGGCAGCAGCAACCGGTCGTCTCCCAGCAACAACAACAGCATCAACAGCAGCAACAGCAACTGACACTGGCATCACTCAATAACTTGGTGTAAGTTTTACACCTGTGACGTTTTCTGCTCGTTAGACTGATTCTCGCAGATTAACCCCACCCCCCCATCAAACACACACGCACTGATCTTTTACACAAACGCGCTTGAGCTGATTCAGTAAAAAAAATTGCAGCACATGTTCTAAAAGCATCTCATCCATACGAAGCTGTGGCATCACCCCAGCTGTAGTTCATTTATCTTGTGGTGACCTAGATACCCCCACCTCCTTACTCCCTTTGCGGTTCTGGTCTGATTTAACTCCTGGTGCAGACGCTAGAAGCTGTGCCATCCAGCACACAATCTGAAGAATGGACCGTCATGTTGTTTAGACCGTTTATAATCACTGCAGGAGTCTGATCTTTGGCTTTAGTAGATTTTATCCTGCAGAATATGAGGAACCGAGAAGGATGACCTCAGCTATGTAGTTTAGTTTTCATTAACCTTCTGCTGAACCGGTGTAAACATACTGTACAGCTGATATCTAATATTTCTTATTTCTTCTCCTGTGGCGGTTCTAGGTCTAAATTTTCAGGAGGGCCAAGGTTCCTTCATAAAACACAAAACAGGGAAATAATTCATTAATTGAGCTAAAGAGCTTAAGATAAAGCAGATAAAAACTGGGATCCTGATCCTAAATATGACTAAGTGTAATTTAAGGTTTCTATCAATAACATTAAACTTTAAAAGAAAAAGAAATGAAATTGGTCCAAGGTTTAAGTTTAGTCCAGGGGCCATAACAAGGCCCTTGACCAGTTCTAGAGGGGCACAGGCCCCTTTTGTCCCCTGGCTAGAACCGCCCATGGTCCAATCAGTTAGTCTCCTGGTTATTTCCATTAAAGATAAAGAAAAGAAAATCATCAGATATTTTGTTGATGTTTTTAAAGATATTACTTTAGTTTTAGTTTTTTTAAACTGATATTTTAGACGTTTTAAAAGCTGTTATATCCAAACGTTCGGGGAAAAAAAATCACTTTTAATGATAGTTATGCCACAGATTTATGCTATTTTTATTTTTGTCATAAGAGTATTACTTTAATAAATTTCCAGATATATATTTTTATTTTAATATTACTTAGTTTTAAAGTCATCAGGCTAATTGGCAGCCTGCTCTTCTGGAGTTTAGGTGGAGAATTTTATCAATATGAGACAAAAAGATAAAGAAAAATTTGTTTTTGTATTTATAGTTATTGTAGGATTTTATTCAAAGTGATCGGGCATCAAACGGGCAGATAGAGATGTAAGGATAACATGCAGCAAACGCAACAAGGTCAGGAATGGAATGCTGGATCGGGTACAACACTGCAGGTCGCCCTGAGTCGACTTTTTATTGCTCCGTTCGTCTTCTCTCATATGATGTGGAGAACAATAACGCACCTCAGATTTTAAAGGACTCATCAGCCTAAAGAGCGAAGCAGCTCAGTCTTGCTTTTTAACTGAATTCACTCCTCACTCACTAGGAGCATACAACAGCCTGGTAGACAGAAATAACCTGAAGATTTTCCAAAAGAGATGCAAATGCATCACAAAGCCAGAATCAAAGTGTCTTTTCTTTGCGTTTGTGTGTCAAATGCGATGCCTGTTGCTCTTTTAGTGCAGCTGAGAGAACGAACTCTTTTTTTTTGGCCCTCCGAGATTATGGGATAATTAGGTTTGTTCCAAGAGTTTTTTTTTTTTTTGTCACCTAAAGCTTAGATCTGAGGCTTTTTGAAAGTGTCACGAAGAAAGAGGGAACTGCTTCATTATGTCAGAAACAGCAGCTTGCTCGGCTGTTGAGTGAAAGGAGTCTCTCGGTGCTGCTTTCAGCCCTCAGAACAGAACCTGGGTGCAGCTGTGCGCCGGCGGCGCAACGCATCGCTTTAAGATTTTTGATTTTTATGCCGTAGAGCTGTCACTCTCCGCTGACAGACCCGTGATCCAACTGTTGGGATACATGTGGGCCTCAGATTCCTACGGTGGGAAACTAAAGAAAGGATGTAGATGTGGCTCAGCTGTCAAAGTCAGTTAAGGAGATAAAAGGGGGATTTGATTTTCTGTATGGAAAAGGATATTTCATTGTGGACTTTATGCTGGCGTTCAGATTGAATAACACTTTTTTTAAGCTTGAAATGAGTTTTAAAGTCTTTTTGAACAATCATATAGTTTCAGCTTGTATTTAATTTTAGAGACAGCTTCCTGATAACAATACAGATAAAGAAATAAGTTTAAAAAAAGACACAAGGCTGGAGAATAATTAATTCTTCTGCCTGACTGCAAACAAAAGTGCTCTATGAAAATATGATAATAGGTTGTTTGTTTCTGTCTACAGCAGTGACTTTGGGGGGTTTGAAATTTAACAACAGTTTATAGTTAACAAAGCCCCCCCCGAGCTCATGCTCAGCAGAACACGTCAAATTGTCATGTGAACATTAAGAACCGGCAGACCAGACTGTTAGAAATCCCTCTGCTACCAGATCAGCTGGTCTCAGATGCTAAAACGCAGCCTGCAGTCATTTCGTTCGCTTAATAATGCGACAAACATCAACCTCACATCAATACCCAGTGTTTCTCCCATTGGCTTTGTCCTTAACATCAGAACTTTTAATTTGCAATTAATAACAGAAACTGTGTAGCAGTATAATGGCCGTAGCATGATGCAGCATTAAGAGCTACAGAAAATAAAGTTTTAGCTTCAATACATTAATGCAGTGAAGAAAAAGAACCCCAAATAAATGAATAATTGTGCTTTTGTTTATTTGGCCTCACTTAGTTACTCCCCTAATAATTACTAATTAATAATTACCTTAAAATGGAGCTGAGGTATTGCATTGCACTCATTGCATTTTGTGCAGTATTTTTTGATGCAAGGCCTTTCAGAATCTATAACACAGGTATTATTATTTTTCAGTGAATGAGGTTTTAATAGGAATAGGTGGAGAACAGCTTTTCTACTTCTGTTATTTGCTGTTGTTTCTCAAAAAAAATGCATAACGATATTACAGCTTTCATTGATTTATTTCAAATTTGAAAAATTGTCTAGCCTGTAAGGTGAAAAAAAAAAAAGAACCAATTAATCGAATCGAATCGTATCGTGGTGTTTTTTGAGTATCGAAAATAATCGAATCGTTGGGTCAGGAAATCGACACTGAATCGAATCGCCATGATGGATGTGATTTACACCCCTAGTTGGAGCGAAATTTAGAGGTTAAGATTGGAACCGGTTTTAAAATTTTCTCTTTATTTCTTAAAAGACTTCGAACAGAATTAATCTACGTAAACATGTATTAAGCTAACAGGAAGCTAATCAGTGAAAATGCGGCAAAAACTGACATTTTTATTGGACATTTTAATGAATCCTGACCTCTTTCTGCAGTGATGCTGCCCCCTGCTGGTTGATAGATGGGGTTCATTCCAATTATGATTCTGGTTTTGTTATTGGAAATGTGACAAAAAGAACAAACACCTGAGATGATGATCCCTGAAACGTCGCTGTTCAGAACTCAATATGGCTGCAAGCATCACATACACGCTCTACAAACTTTCATTATTAACACATTCCTTTATTTTTTGACATTAAACACAGAGTTAAGAGGTGTTTATTTTTACATGCATGTAAAGTTGTCTCAGTAATGAGCAAATCCCTGCATTTCTGACATGCTTCCGGAGACGCTTTATTCAGGTCAGACATCATTACTGGGAGAAAAAGATCAACATTACTCTTCTAAAAGGTTACAAACGTAATATTTTAGAAGGAATAACTCACACAAGAAATACAACATGAGTTAAAAAAAGGTTCAAATGCAAGGTTATGGATGGGTCAGAGTTCAAGAATTAATTCACATCCTGATGAGTTTATTTGTGTATTAAATAAAACTCCTGTTTATGAATAAATCTAAATAAGCAACATCTCAACTTATCTCAACCTAAAAAAAATTTTTCTGGAAAGCTACCTCATTAGCTAATACCTTCTTGTGCGAAATTAGCATTTGAAAAAGAATTATGTATATTCATTAATCATAGAAAACAACCTAGGAGCCCAACTTCTCTCCTTTTGAATAATTGCTGTGTTAAAATAGCCAAAACATGCGAGCACAGAAATCAGACGCGGTTTTCCAGAATAAACAGGATTTATATTTCCAGCCATGATCATGCAGCCAGATGCTGATTGTGGAAGCAATTCAGCTCCTGCTGCTTTGACTCCAGAATCAGCACTGGGCAGACTCTCTGAGCCGTTTGTGTGTGCGAGTGTGGGAGCAGGATAACAGAATCGCTGTCACTGAAAACAAGGGAGCAGCACAGAAATGTGGGAATCTTTCCCAGCTCACCAAACGGTTCTCACAGCATCACGGAAAATCGTGCTGTCCTGGGACAGCAGGGGCAGACGTGGGCACTTGTGCAGCCCAGACTGTTTCTGCCTTGTTTTTGATTCCTCGCAGCGTGGCCTCATCGCCAGCAAACAAGCCCTCCTAATCAAATGGTGATTGACGGCTTGGCTGCGAGCCTCGCCTCGGCTGTCGTATACACTTTTCCTCTCTGCAGGCGCCACAAGGAAATTATTTCTGTCATCTTATTTTCTCCCATCCTTCCCCTTTTAATCATCCACTGCTTCCGTTTTTTTTTCTCTCGTTTCCGTCCCCTTCATCCAGGCCTAGTTAATTCAATGTACACCTGTTGATCTCAGCTTCCTCTCGACTCCCCGATCTAAACGTTAATCAGTGACCCGGCCTGTAAACCAGCGCCTGCAGAGCAGCGCTCATGGCCAGCTTCTACATTTATGTAGAAATACTTGCAGAAATGTGTCTGTTGGCAATTAATCTACATTTTTTTTTATCTATAAAATGATGTGAATTAATTAAAGCTAAACAAAAAGAAAAACTTTGATGAAAGATGTAAACAAAAAGATTTTTTTCACTTTGAAATTCAAGTTCTGCTTTGGATTTCTTTTTAATTAGATTTTATTTTTTTTGTATATCCTATTTTTCCTATTTCCTTTTAACATAGGTTGTATTTGGTTAAATATATTATAAATCTTATGGTTCTGCTGCAGCAAAGCTTCTTAACCCTATGATATTTCTTTCCCCGTGCTTCGCATAGGTGAGGAAGTGTTTTACTAAAATGCTGTTTAGTTTGCGCCCATCTTCTCCTACCTTTTTCCCCAAGTTTTATTCTCTTCTGTCCAAAGCAAATGTTTCCTCCTTGCAGAACTCCCATTAAAGTTCTACAGTCTCTCTGCTGTTCTGCAGACATGTGCTTTTATCCCATATAGTGTTCTCCATGGGGGGTTCTAGACAGGGCCCAACGGGGGCCAGTGCCCCTGTAGATCATGTCCTGGCCCCTGCACTGAAGACATAATACTCAAAGAAATTCTAATGATGAACCAACATGGTCTTTTGGATCTATTTATTTATTTATTTTTTTGCTTCACAAATTCTGTTTTACTAACTATTTAAAAACAATAAGGTGGTAGCTTAGGATCCAGCTTTTTCATCTGCTAAATGTTTTTTTTTTAAACAAATTAAAAAAAAAATACAATCATTTTTACAGCTGAATTTATCAGTTTTTCTATATTTATAATTCTGATTTTATAGAAAATGGCAATTTCAACCTGAATTAAGTCAAAAATACACAAAATTCCTAAATTATGTAATAATGTATATTCACCTAATAAGACATAGAATTTTAATTAAACTAAATTGAATAGAAATGTGACTTCATGCAGCTCTTTTAATGTATTTGAATCCCTGTACTGTTTTTTTATTTCATGTTTTTCTGGGCCCCCATGAAAACACAGTGGCCCCCTCCTGGCCCCCTGGTACATTTGGTCTAGAACCGCCACTGGTGTTCTCTATCTCAAATCAGGATATTTTAGGGGTTTTTAAACTTATTTTAGCACCTTGTGGTCTGATTTTAGCATTAAACGACCAGCACTTTCGGACATGGTTTGGTTCTTTACACCAGACTATTTTTAAAACGTTTAAATTAATGATTTCAAAAGCACTCTTTAAATCAATCAGCAGACACATAAACTTTCTTAACCTTCTTCCTGAAAACCGGCTGCCTTACAGTATCCCATGTTTTACACCTGACTGTATTGTACAGTATCCAGGGACTATTCAGGTGTAAAACCTTTTTTTTTATTCTTGTAAAATCCTCCAATTTCTTTACTTCAGATTATTTATAACTGACCGACACAAAGTGCTTCACCTTTAGGAAGTATATAAAAAAAATAGCTTTTCAAGGCAATTTTAGCTCCAGATCTTTGTGGCTATGTCTCTGAAACAGTCACACATCTCAATATTGAACACCTTTTCTTGCTCTTCTTTGTAAAATAGTCTGATTTGATGTAAACCTCAAATGAAAGATGATTTTCTCGTCTTATCGTCTGATTCTCGTTTAGATTCTATCTCATTCCAACTTCCAGTTATAATTCAAGCAAACTATTTCATCATCACTTGGAATATAATTTTTTAACCTTTTTACAAAGGCCTTTTTTATTCCTTCTTGTCTCTAATGAACCTCTGATGCCCACACAGGAAACACAAATAATTTTAAACGTCTTTTTACCAAATAAAAACCCGTATTTTACTGTGCAGACAACTGAAAAGGTAACGAGACAACTAAAGGCTATTTTTGCACTGGGTTTTATTTAAGGGAGGAAGAGTAAATTAGGTAGGATATAAATTATGCATCAACTCTTTTAGACTTCTAACCCAAAAAGAAAGAAAAGAATCAATCAATTATTACATTGATCAGTTAGGAGCTACTTTGTGTTGATTTGTCTTAAATGGTGTGAATACTTTTTAGAAAGCAATGTGTGGACATTGTAAGCCAGTGCATTTGCTCTGTTTTAGTGCAAATTGTTTGAAATAAAGAATAATGAAAAAAGGCTTTAAGGGGAAAGGAGATTAGTATTTCATCTTTTCTCAGAATCCCCCTCAGCCACAGAAATGCTTTTTTATGATCCATATTCCTTAAAGTGTCATTCTTGTCCCTCTTCAGCTTCCTTACTAACTGTGTCTTAAATAAAAAGACATTAGCAGAATGAGCGTCAAAGTGCTGAAAGGCTTTTTTTATTTGGTTCAAGTAATAAATCGTCTTTAAAGGCTAAGCTGAGGGTCGGATCAACAGAAGTTCAACCTTCAATAAAAAAAAAACTAAATACATGTTGAATGAGAAAATTAAAAGTCATATCCACAATCTGAATGATTTCTCTAAAGGATGTTTTATCACAAATTCTTTAACCCTTTATAGGGCGTTCAGTCAAATACTTTTAAAATCCAAATTTCAAGCCAATAGTGTTATTGGAATCCAGGAAGGAGCCTTATTACCTTTTTAATATGAAAAAATATGGATATTTTGATGGAAAAATGAATGTCAATGTAATAACAAGAAACACCAGTGAAGGAAAGAAGTCCTGCATGTGAATAACTGTCCAGCTTTCATACACAGTGTACACAGCTCTGTCTCTAACAACCTGTAACAAAGCTGTTAAGGCTTTTTATTTGACGACTGGCCTCCGTCTCACTGTTTCCCTGCTGTTATTAGCTTTCTTAAAATTGCTTGTCTTCTGTGTTTTTTTCCCCACCTCCCTCCACAGCTTGGCTTCTCAGTCCAACTTTCTCTTGGGCAGAGAGGATGGCCTCTGCTGGTACTGTACTCTCTACTCTCAAGGCATACAGCTTACAGCATGTTTCTCTCCTAACATATCTGCATGATGGGTTCTTAGCTAAAGATTTGAGACATTTTGGGGTGAAACTGCAACTGAAACCAGATTCATTTGATTTCAAAATGAGCTAAATTATCTAAAAATAAGTACAAAATGTCTGAAAATAAGTGTATTTGTCCTTAGTTTGAGCAGGTAAATAAGATGATCTGTTACCTGAAGATGTTTTTTTCTCCCTAAGATAAGATAATTAAATAGTATGCACTTTAAAATGTTGTGTTACCTGCTCAAATGAAGGGAAAATACCCTTATTTCAAGAAAAACATTTCTTTTTTTTATTTTTGCAGTGTAGATCAAAGATCTGCAGCTTCTTGATCTAAAAGCAGTTTGAATCATTACTGACCTCACCTTTTTTGTTAATATTATAAAAATCTGACTGCACTCTTTCAATGTAATCCCTCCTTGATGCTGCGTCACGGTGCCTCTTTGGTGATGAAAATCAGCAGTTAGCCCAAAAATAATCTTTATCCCTGCACCTTTATAATATACAAACATAAAAATACTGCCCAATGCTTGAACACATAACAATTTGATGCAATCCAGACATTTATTATTTAGATGAAAAAAGAAGGTTAGCTTAAAGGAACATAATAGTTTATATATTCTTAATTTTCCCCCTTTTCATGATTTTTTCCCCTTTATTTTGGTTGTTTTTAGATTAGTAACACTTAGAAAGTACCTTAATGTTCAAACTTTAAAGTTGAGGAAGAAGTCAAAGACATCCACTGCTCTTACCAAACTCTTCCTGATTATCAGGGACCTTCATGTGTTCACCAAAGTGACTTTCTTCAAACTTTTTAAACATTCAAAATCACACAGGAGAATTCATTGGCAGCAATTTCTACAATTCTAGCAACTAATGGTTGTCATGGAGACTTTGTGTCACTCTTTGCTCCTGATCGTTTAGCACTGAGCTTTGGAAATGTTATCTTTAACTTTCCTCCCATCCTCCTGACTGCTGATGAGATAAACTAAGACATTCTTCCAAACTTTCTAGTCACATATTTAGCTGTTATTAACTCCAATTTCATTTTTACACTGGAAAAAATGGAAATCTATGTAGATAAGTCATTTATTTCTTAAAAGAAGAGCATTTGTTCTCGGATTCAGGAGGTAAAAGAGACAGTTTGGCAATGGAACAAGACAATTTATACTTAAAATTAGAAAACACATTTGCATTGTCTTATTTCAAGTGCATGTTATCTAATTATCTTATTTTAAGAGTAAAAATACTCATTCTTTTGGCAAACTACCTCCTTTACCTACTTAAATTAAGAGTAAATACACTCAATTTAAGAAATTTTTTATTATTTCTGGATCGTTTTTCCAGTGTAACAATTATTTTTTTATTTTTGACTTAAGAAAATCTTCAAACATTTATGCTTTTATTTATGCAGCATTTCCCCCTTTTTTCCCCACTTCAAAGAAGAGGTACTTTATCGCATCTTAACCTCCGTAGCAGGACATCCTGGTTTGGTTATGTAGTTCCTGAAAAATGAAATCATCTTTAAAAAATAAGTTAAGATAAAAAAAAAATCATCTCTTGGTCATAGGGATCAGTTTTCTTCTCTCATCTCTTTTGGGAACCACAACAGCTCAACACACCTCTCTGCTTCTGGCTGTGCTCAATGTGCTGTTAATGTTTGGGTGGGGGTGGGGGGGGGATAGTCGCCCCTCTCACCTTCATCACTGTCACTGGTCTGCTGACTCCACCGATTTCTTTCACTCGCCTCAGCATCGGCACCCCAGTGGCACTCCCATCTATCTACCTGTACGCGGCGGAGCCACTTTGCGCCGGTTTGATGAAGTAGGCACAGGAAGAGACGAACTCGCTGCCACACAGCTGTGTGTCTTTGTGTGCTCAGAGAGAAGCTGTATTTATATGTAGGACAGTAAGCGTGTGTGTGTGTGTCAGTTAGAGGAAAAGTGTGAGAGCAGACCCAGATTGCCTGGAGCAGTGCTGTCTTAAAGTCCCCTCTGTGTGCTAGTAATTGTGCAAGATATATTGCTGCAGATGGCTCCTGATATGACATATTAGAACACACCCGAAGGGGCGAAAAGTGGTAATTGGGGGCTTCAAATTCACATCTACTGTGTCACGCTGTGGGAGAGGAAGAGATGGAAGGAGCCCAATCCCCCCCAAAAATATAGAAAAAAAATCTTGTATTGAGCGTCAAAGGATGCAAAACTTAGTGCAGCGTCAACAGGCGGCGTCAGCCGCAGTGACAGCTCTGACTTAGCCTGCAGCCAGTGGAGGAGGTGAAGGCTGAGTGAGACTGTGGAGGGGCTGATCAAAGAGCCGTGGCAGGTCGACAGGAGGCGGGTGACACCCAGGAAAGCTTTTTGGCATGCCGCTTCTATCCCGAGCATCTTAGTGAAACGTGAACTGAAATTATCATCAGAGAGAGTTTAATCAAAGCAAAGCCGCTTCTTCTTCAAGCCGCCATCAGAGAACAGCTTTCAGAAATGTCAGATGTCAAACATGTTTGCAGAATCAGATTTTTTTTTATCCGGAAACTTTGGTGGTCAAAAGCGTAACTTGTGAGTGCTATTGCTGATTTTAGCTCGAAGCCACTTCCTTGAGTTTACGGGAGGCCTCTGTGGGTCGTGGAAGTGAAACCCGAAAGATAAAAAATTGTTCTGCTGATGGATTCGGGAAAAGCTGCCGCTTCTGGGAAAACTTCTTTTTAGCTTCCTTTAAGCAATAAACCAGCTGGAAATTTCACCTTATCACATTTTCAAACTAATCACAAACTTCAGGCTATTTTATTGGGATTTTATGTAATAGAACAGAATAATTTGGCTTATAATGAAGTAGAAGAAGAATTACACATGGGTCTTTAATAAAAAAAATAATAATCTCCTTTTACTCTGATACAACTGCATAAAATTCAGTTCTTCTTCAAAATGGCAGCATTTAATAAACAGAAAACAATTAAACTTTGGCATAAAGTCTGTGTTCAGTAAGCAAAACACCAGACATTTAAAGCAGGGGTGGGATGTTAAACTATATTTGAAACTTTTAATAACTTAATAACTTCTGGTTACTATTTAATTGAAACGCAATCCAATATTGCATGGATACCAAGACCTAAACTGAGAGGCTGAACAAGAACAGAATTGGTTTTAAAATGCAAGAGTCCATGGTTAGCCTGGATGGGCTAGAGATCCATACTGAAATATTCATAATTTATTAGTGATGCATTTAAAATATACATATTCTATAAAAAAAATTGCAGTAAGAGGATTTTGTGATTCAATTAAATTAAATTCAGTTTATTTCTATAGCGCCAAATTCACAACACGTCATCTCAAGGCACTTTACAACCAGATCATCCAGTCAAATTGATTTAAAGTTTTCTATCTAAGGAAAACCAGTTGATTGCATTGACTCATTGACTCAAATACAATCCCTCACACTAAGCATGCTTGTAGCGACAGTGGAGAGGAAAAACTCCCTTTTAACAGGAAGAAACCTCCAGCAGAACCAGGCAATATAAGAAGTTATATTTGTAGAAAGCTTTTTTAGGGAAACATTTAAAAGAAGCTCCTCTGCTCAGATGAGACTCAACTTGAGTAACTTGGTCTGCATGCAAACATTTATACAGATGAAAACTAAAGCTGCACATGTTCCTGAACGCACCATCCCCAGCATAAAGGCTGACGATGGCAGCTTTTCACGAGCAGCAGAAAATCTGTGCAGAGCTGAAGTAAAGATCAGTGTAGCTTAATAAAGTCAGTTTGATCAGAAAACATGTAAAAGGATGGAGAACCTGACTTCAGATCCTCTTTATCTGATCTCATTGGGCTTCAGCTAAACTACAGGGAAGAACAGGAAAATATTCACATCCATTAATGTCTAGATTAGCGAAATGTTCTCCAAAATTCATACAGTTAAGGTCAAAGTTGATTCTACATGTTTCCAAATCCATCTTCATTGTTTTTCTATGAATTCCCCTGTCATTTAATGCTCTATGTTATCAACATTATGGTAAAATGTCTCATGGACTGTTTGTAGAACATTTGAAATGGGTAGAAATTCATTTTTAAGGATCTGTGTTTATAAATCTAGAATATCTGTGACAAACTTGCCCTGGAATCTATTTTCTATAATAAAAACTCACATTTATGATCTCAGTAAACAATTTAAGAATTACAAAAAGTTATAAGTTATCTGAATCTGTAGATATCTTTTATGCACAAGACAGAACTTCAGAAATCACTTCCTGTCAGTTGGTTAAAGAGATAAAACCCTTTCCATTTTACCAATGGAACATGACACTTTAGATTTAAAATAAGAAAACACAATTGCATTGTCTTATTTCAAGTACCTTTTACTAATTATCTTATTTTAAGAATAAAAATACTCATTCCAGTGGCAAATTATCTCATTTACCTACTCAAATTAAGGGTAAATACACTTAATTTATGACATTTTTACTTACTTCTGGATCGTTTTTCCAGTGTATGAGACGGATTAACAAACAAATGCAAATACTGTGGAGAATCTGATGCAGTTGATAACGAAGTGAAAGCTTTAAGAGTTGTGCTCCCTAACTTTAACACAAAGGAGAAGCTGAACATGACAGATGATCCTTAAAATGCAAGTGTTCACTTTGCTGGAAGTAAAGAAAGCAGAAAGATGAGTTGATGACAGTCAGCAGTTTGCATTGTGGAGCTGATTGAACAGAATATAAATGTATTCAGCAGCAATGCTCATCTTTAGCTGTGGAACCTGACAGCAAATCCAATATGCAGGAATGATTGTGCTGCATGGCGTAATGACTCTGCTGTAATGTGCTCTGCTGTGTCTCTGCTGTCCGTCTGCTGCGCTCTCATCCACCGGCTTACAGCTTTGCTTGGCTGTCTTTGGTTCTTCCTCTCTTGGCTTTTACCAGTTGCACACTCAGTGTATGTGTTACATCTACATGCCTTCATTTGATCACTCTGGAGTTTGTGTTTGATTCTTCATTTTAACCCTCTCCGTCCCGTACGTTAATTATTGCCTTACCTCTCTTGTTTTTCTCTCCAGGTCAGTGGGCCCTGTACCTCAGAGCACCGCACTCACAGTCAACACAAACCCCAACGTCAACATCAAATCAGAACCCGTATCCCCGAACCGTGACCGCAGCACCCCCAGCTCCACCGGCGGTGCGGGTGCTCAGATCCAGGGACAAGGTCTGGTGGCGGTGGCCTTCCCCGGCAACCAGGGCCGTTCGCCCGTCGACAGCCTCAGCAGCAACGGCAGCTCCTACGAGGGCAGCGACAGGGACGACGGAGCCCAGGGTCGAGGCGGGGGACAGGACTTCCACCACCAGGCGGGAGGCGGAGCTCAGCAGTCCACCATGATCCTCCTGCGGCCATCTTCAGCTGAGCCTCAGGAGCAGGACGGGACGAGCATCAAGAGAGTGAGATTGGATAACTGGGTGACATAAAGAAGAGAGGAGAGGAATGGACACATGGGAGAAGGAGATGTGTACTTTGGCTTGTGTACATGCCCCCACCCCCCTCCACCAGCTCTGATACCCCCCCCCCCCTCCCCCTTTGAAAACCCACAAAGAATAAAACAACCATTGACCCGGTAACTTACTCCTCATGCAGGAAATGTATTCATGCACAACACAAGCATGCAAACACACTCATGTTGCACGTGTGGACACTGATGCTCAGCTGTACGGCGATGTGCGTTCATTTTGTACTTTGATGTACTCCAAACATGACCCCCCCCCCCGTGGGTTCAGCCGACGATCCAGGGATTACTCATCAAACAAATGACCATGTTGGACTTGATCCGGCTGCATTTCTGGTTGGAGCGAACAAGTACGTTTTCAATCAGGCAAAAAAAAATTGGACTTTTGAACTATTTGACAGACAAGAGACAAAACAAACCAGGCTTGGTTACCCAGAATGCCCTGCAATTGGTTTGTGAACAGATCCGACTCTTTCATTCTCCTCTCTCTTCTCCCTCCCCAGAAGATTTTGGTCCGCTCTGACAGGTCTTGGCTCTAAAATTGGAGCCATGAACGTCCGAATCCGTCCGCCCGCCACTGTGTCTGGTTCTTCTTTTCTCTGGGCGGTTTTTGAGTCGGATTTCGCTCTCCTGTCCTGACTGTTCAGACTTTAGATTAATTTCACTTTTTGAATATAAAGACACTAAAAAGAGAAACTTGCTTCTCTGTCCGGCCGCGCTGGCAGGCAGCTCCATCAACAGTGAACATGAAAGCGGACCCTCAGGTCTCTGCCGAATCAGAACCGTGCAGACTAGCTGTAAGACGAGGAGCATCATTTGGTTGACTGCTTTTCTTTGAATCAGGGATGAGCTGCGGCAGCTCGGCGACACGTGACAGAGTCTCATCGCTCGGCCCACACCGTGTCTGAGAAAGCTGCGTGTGTTTGGTGTGTGTGTGTGTGTGTGTCGTTTGTGTATACGGGTTTGTTACCTCAACTGATTGTCGTTTCTTTTTAGCAAGTAATTGGACAAATGTTCACTATTGAGTTTCATCCTTGAACACACAACTGCAATGCACACAGCGGAAATTATTTTTGTGGTAGCTGATGTTCAAAGTCAGGGGGGGCGGGGGGGGGGGTATATAAACAATCTGTAACCTTTGTGGCTTTTTGTGTGGCAGGGATTAGGTGTTATGAAGGTAGAAATAAATAGGTCATATACAAGTATATATATTTAAACACCTTTAGAGGGTTGCAAGTGCAACTCTGCATCTGAGGCTATAGACTACGGCAAACGACAGGGATTGTATATATTTATACAGATATATTATATATTATATATTCGGCAGGATATCCCTTAACATGAGATTTAAAAAAAAAAAAAGTTGATTCTCAGTATATCGGTCAATCTTTTAAAAAAAAACATTTTATTTATGCGTGTTCTAGGTGTAAAATGTGGCTTAGCCAAGAGATGGCGCTGTACAGGCAGAAAGGAAAGCAGTGGCGACTCGGACTGTTTATGAGCGAGCAATGGACTCTGTCTCTGATGGAGTGCACTTTACATGAACCCCCCCCACCCGACTCCTTCACACCCGACCGATGAGCACAGGCTGAACACAGGAGGGTAAGACTGATACGCCAAAATAAACTAGGTTTTATTCAGATATGAATGAGCATTACTATGGTCTGCTTTTTTTTTAAATATTCTGTTTTAAAACCAATTAATTGAAATAATCAAGGAGATAAACATAGAAGCAATGCCTCTCTTCAAAAATTTCTAAAGAAAGATACATAAATAAATGAAAACATCATTTAAAAATAAACTTTTTTTTTGGTTAAAGCACATAATAATATTTTGATTATTCTTTTTAATATACTTGGACCAGTTTTAGTTTCTAAATATGTGGTAGTAAGAATATCACAGATTGAATGCCAGCATATAATAGGAATTAAACATAATTGGTAAAACTTTATTTAAAAAAAAAAGATCCAACTTTTAAATGTTGCCTTTGATCATGTCATTACAATTCATTTTTTATCAAAGCTATTGCTTTAATTTGAGTCCTAACATTAATATTGGAAGAACCAAAAAACATGAAAGTTAAAAAAAAAACTGATTTATAAATAAGGGATGTAAATTTAATAGAAAAGATGGTAAGATTAAAGGAATATTGAAAATTATAAATATTTGCTAATGTTCAGTTTGAAGTGAAATAAATTTTAATCCTTTGAGGTAAAGTCTAAAAAGCTGAAGTTAGCTGGTTTATTAAGAGGGTTAGTTGTTCTTTTTAAGCTTTTTATTTTACAGACATGCTAAGCTGTGCACATCGTTACAAACGTTTCCTTTAGTCCACTGATAAATATAACTGCTCTTCGAAGGAGGCCTGGTTGTGTGTTTTGCTGTTGACTTCATCCTTTTTTTAAGGTTGGAATCAGCTAACATACGCAGCGGACTTACAGCTAGCAACAACATGGTGTGTTTAAACTTTAGAAAGAGTAAAACTAAACTTTATAACCAATTTAAATTTCAAAGGTTCATTAAATTTTGTCGTTATAAAGTAATACCTCAGTGGAGGAGGCGGGGCGCTGATGCTGAGGGGCCCATGGAGGCCCCACATCTCCAAATCACACAGATCAGCAAAGCAACCCACACACTATCCTGCTCACTGGTTTCTGCTAAAATTGATCAGTTAGCCTCACACCCAAACACAGATAGGAAAAATGTAAAGATGCCAAGGAAGTCCCCTAGATCTTTATCTGATTAAACTTTGTCTTTCACTCCAACAAAAAGCCATGTATCTGTATTTAAAGGACCTCTCCTTCGCCTGTTACTGGTTGGCTGTAGTTTTATACTTTGGAGAGTTTTTTAAAAATCCTACGAGGATAAAAGGGTGTGAAGGATGTCATTTTTCTACTCTATAAAATAAAGTGTCAAACGGTGATTTCTTTCGGGGATTTTAGTGAGTAGCTTTTTAAAGCCGTGATTGTGAAAAAGTGGAAGTTTGTGTATTTATTTTTCCTGAAAAGCACTCTTGGCCTCCGTCCATTTGCCGGTGAAAAGCCCTGGAGGCAGAGTTTGAGTATCATTTGATTTTAAGCCGGAGGTTTCTGATCTTTTAATGACTACCTCCCAAATCCTACACAGACTTGTCGACTTTGGGCTTTACCACATCCAGTTGCCACATCCGCATCCCGGGCGGGCCCCCGTCACCTCCCTCTCGCCCCTGTCACTCACTCACTGGGTGTTTATGTCCTCTCTGGAGGCTTAAACCTCAAATATTGCACAAACACATCGATATGTCATTGCATACACACTCATCTGCTAGTTTACTCCGTGCACAAAGTGCGGTTCCAACGCTGAGATAAAGTTAATTTAGTTTCGGGGTCAATTTCACACGTAACACAGCTTCATCAAGTTCTGCTCAATTTAGAATAAGTTCCCATTTTCTTTATCTCTGTCTGTCACTCTCTGACACGCTCTCATCCTCGGTTTGACAAGCTTCATTAACGCTTGTCTGAGTGCGTGGCAGAGGGGAAGCGCAGCGTGAAAAAAAAGGACTTTTAAGACTGTTGTGCCCAGAGCTTCGAACAAAATCAAATTGTAAGTCAGAGAGGAGCCAGTTTTTCCCAAAAGGTAACAGAGGCAGCTTTGTGACACGCCTGTAGACCAACACTAGGGGTCGCTTTTATTACAATCAGAAAGACAATCGTGCTGATACCCCACCCTCCCCCCCGTCCCTGAAAAAGCGACACACGCCTCTGTATAATGATGTCTAGAAGTCTAAAGGACTTTTCAGTGTTAATTTGTTCTGGTGACAGTCTGTTTTCTTGTTCTCTACAGATCGATATTACTACTATTATCATCGTTACCACAGGATTCACTGCTGGTAGATGTCATGATGATATAGAACGCTGAGTTTCTTTGTGTAGCTTTAGACATTTAGTTTTATTTTAAAATTTGGTTTCATATTTTTGAAAATATCTTATAAATATGTATTTCTGTTTTCTCTTCTTGGGGTTTGTTTTTTTTTCTTTTATTTTTTTTGTTGAAAAAGGGTGTTACTAATGTTGCACGATTTTTATGACCTGACACAACACAAGCGTGGTGATGATTTATTTTTTATTAGTACAAAAAAACGAGTGGACTGCGACAAACCGCATCTATGCTGCAGCTTTTAGGTTTTATATACGAACCTGTCAGTCCACACGGAGGTGGTGGGGTTGTGGGGGGGGGGGGGGGGGGGGGGGGGGGGGGGGGGGTTTAGGAGGGGCAGCGTGACACGTCTAACTTATTTCTAACCAGACACGATGCATGGCCGTTTCAAAAGCAAGAGAAAGTGAAACATGTTGTAGGAAACAAAGTGTACTATTGACACAAACACATGTCACACAATATGACATTTAAGAAAAAGAAAAAAAGAAATTGAAGTAAAGGTTTTAAGTAAATTATAGCTAATATATTGTGTTTGGCTAGTCAGCTTTTCTGTTGTAAAGATAATTTTTGTTGTTTTTTTTGGAGAATGATATACAATTTGTGTATATTTTCATAAATAAAGTATGCACTGATATGTTATTACAAATTATATACTGCTTTTACAAAAAAAAGTGTTTGTTATTGTACCAAAGTATCCATTGGTCCCAGCTTACCCTCCTCCCCTTTTTGCGTATGTTTTACTGTATTTTATATATTAAATAGACAGTTGACCTAAAGTCTGGGTTTGTGTGATTTGTTGAGAACCAGGAGGCATTACCAGAAGTTGTCCACTAGGGGGAGCCAGAGTGTTTGGCATTGGTTATCATGGTTTAGAATCTTTTTCTCCAAGGATTTAAATCAGTGATAAAAAGTTAATCATTATACATTATACAATGTTAAATTGAACAAACATGTTCTTCACATCAGAGACTAATGAAGTCACACTGAGTGATCAGTGGAAGTTAAGTTCATGTTGGTGTATTTATTTAATGATGATTTTTAAATGGTGAATGGTGACTTTTGCACTAATGATAAAATGTATCTAAATAGATTGAAATATAATGTTTTTATAAACGCTGCAAAACTCTGAACATTTCACAAAGGTTTGAATTGTGGAAGAAATAACATTTTATAATGAACCTGTCTCACATAAAGCATCCTATTTAATAGATGAGTCAGTAAACTTTGATTGCAAGTGAGAAAAAGAAGTGCGGTTGTTCCAGAATACAAATCTGAAAAGTCTGGCTGTTGCATCCCCCCCCACCCCCCTGGTGCAATGCTCATGCATTTTTTATGAGCTTTTAAGATATAGTAATTTATTAATTAGCTGTTTTAAAGAAAGGAACACGTTTATACAAACAAATTAGAATTCAAAAATACAGATTTTGTTCCTTTAATACTTAGTTTCTTAGCAGCTGTAGCTACCAATTACTTGGTTGACAGCCTAAATATACATTTTGGCCTCATTTTTAACTATTTTCTATAAAAAAAAAAAAAAAAAGCAGGAGTTAAAAATAATCTTCAGTTTGTTGCTTCTCTGACATGGAGGTGAACCGGTTTTGGGATGTGAAACAAAAATGATAAGTTCTTCATCTGGCATAATTAGGTGGTTCTGCAACAGTTATTACAACTCTTGCTTTAGAGAAACGCAAAAAAAACACATATGACTCAACAGGCTAGTAATAGCAAAAACCACATGCACGCAGACAGCTGTGTCATAAGTCCTACCAGACAAGCTGAGCATTATCTGATGGACAGCTGACCTTATTTCCCTCTGCTGGGTGTGTTTGGCAGAAGTGCTCAGATATAATACTTAGCGGTTACACTTTGAAGGTGGAAGTATATAGATATCAGTGAGATCAGTCTGATGTGGTTTGTGTTTTAGTTGCTGAGAGACAAAGCAGTGGAGGATTGGATGTGACCTATTGCCTTTCCCTGCACTGTCATGCTATCTGAGCCTGTGGGTGGGGCTTGTATGCATCAAATTAAATTTTCTGGGCCTTGATTGAATTACTGAGTGGGCATCTGCTGACAGAAGCTCGCAGATAAAAACTGTGGAGGAACCAAGCCTTGCTGATGCTTTTTTTGATAGATGGTGCACAATATAAAGAAAAACATCTGAAAAGAGGCGATAAACTGTAAAATACAAACCCATCTGCATTATAAGATGTTTATCCATATTTTATTTATTTTTGAGGTAAGAAACGTAAAGATAAACTGTCTAATCCAAACAACTTTACAACAAAAAAATAAAATTGATGCGTCCAAAACATACACGTATTCATCTCTGGTAATATAGACAAAAAAAGATTTTGCCCCAACTATAAGAATAGCAGTTTGAAGTCGCATCAGACTGAATTTAGGCAATTCCAATCAGTGTTTATGTGATTGAGCTGATAAATGGCTTTTCGTCAGCGTTATTTTCTCAAATTCACTATGAATGTTCGGCGAATATGAATGAAGGAAGGAAACAAAGCTAATCAGAAGTCAAAGGTAGAAAATATGCTAATCAGAGCTTAGCATCAGCGAAACCTACAGTATTCCACACAATCTTTGCATGCAGTAGTCTTTAAAGTAGTTAAAGTTCATTAAATAGATCCAGCTGATGCCCAAATTCCTTTTTTAGGGAAGAAAAACAGCTGTTAGCTTTAAGGAACGACAGTAAGATCTGACAAAGGACTTTGTAAACAACAAATATGTGCTTCTTGAGGTTAGAAGTAATAATAAAGCTTGAAAATAGAAATAATACAAAATAACACTTAAAAATCTACGGATTATGACAAAACCCATCCTGCAAAGGACACCTGGTGAGATCCCCAGATAGGATATCGATGGATGGAGGTGATGTCTCGGATAATATCTGCGCAATAGAGAATGACTGTTCTGATGATGACAGTGACTCTAATTATGTTGAAATAATGTTGGTGATCAAAACCCCAGTCGGCCTCAGCAGATGGCGGCTCACACTGAGCCTGGTTCTGCTGGAGGTTTCTTCCTGTTCA